GAAGGGTCACAACAGCTTGACCGGAATCCAAACTGAATTAAAGCACCCTTGAGCTTGTCAAACCATGCTTTAGGAGCCTGTTTAAGGCCATATAATGCCTTATTGAGCTTGCAAACTAAGCTCTTATCAGAATCCTCAAATCCAGGGGGCTGTGTCATGTAGACATCTTCTTGTAAGTCACCATTGAGAAAAGCATTATTAATATCCAGCTGCCTAATTGACCAGGAGTGAGTGAGAGCAAGAGTAAGCATTATTCGAATGGTGACAGGTCTTACTACAGGTGAAAAGGTTTCATTGTAGTCAAAACCTTCTCTTTGATGAAAGCCCTTAGCCACAAGTCTAGCCTTGTATTTATTCACTGAACCATCAGGATTTTCTTTAACCTTAAATACCCATTTGCAGCCAATCGAATTCCTGTTTGGAGGCAGAGACACAAGAGTCCATGTATTGTTAGTCATTAAAGCATTGTACTCAGTATTCATGGCTTCAAACCAAGGGGGACTGGTTAGAGCTTGTTTCACAGTAGATGGTTCAATATGAGCAAGGAGAGCAATGGATGTGGCTGCTGTCTTAGACCTGGTCTGAATAGATTGTGTAGGTGGAATTATTGGTAAGGAGTTTGGGGGAATATATTCAGAAACTGAGGAAGAAGAAGAGGTGGAAGAGGGAGCAGGAGAAGACTGCATTGTTTGGGTAGGAAGAGGGCTGTGAAAAGAAGAAGAAGAAGAAGAAGAAACAGATTGAGAGGTGGACTGCAAAGGAGATTGAGACTGTACAGGAGACAAAGTGTGAGTAATGGGAGTAGAGGAAGGAGGAGACACAAGAGGAATGTGAGCAGAAACAGGAAGGATTGGAGGAGTGGGACTAATTCTGGTGTCAGTCCAAGAATGATAAGGAAATTTATATTCATTGAATAAAACATCCTTGGAGATATAGACTCTGCCCTCTCTACTTAAACAAATATAACCTTTGTGATTTGTGGAGTAGCCAAGGAACAAGCATTCTTGTGAACGAAACTCAAGTTTGTATCTATTGTAAGGTCTCAAAAATGGAAAACATGCACACCCAAAGGTTTTAAGAAACTGATAATTGGGCTGTTGGTTAAACAATTTTGTGTAAGGAACATCAAAATGTAAAGAAGCAGTGGGCAATCTGTTTATTAAGTACACAGCTGAAAGAAAGGCATAATCCCAGAATTTCAGTGGTAAGGAAGCATGAGACAGTAATGTCAGTCCCATTTCAACAATATGACGATGTTTACGTTCAACAACACCATTTTGGTGATGAGTGTGTGGGCATGCAACTCTATGAATAATGCCATTGAGTTTAAGATAATCAGAAAAGGATCTGAATTCCCCACCCCAATCTGTTTGTAAAGCCTTAATAGGTAGCTGAATTGAGTTGTTATCAAAGAGTGAAATTGTTTAAATGTAGGAAAAGCATCAGATTTTTGTTTCAGTAAATAAATCCAAGTGTATCTGGTATGGGCATCAACAATTGACAGGTAATAAGTGTATCCCATGGTTGAAGTAAAAGGAGCTGGTCCCCAAAGATCACAATAAAGTAGAGCAAAGGGGGTATCATATTCAGACAGAGAGGGATATGAGGGGAGTCTATGTGCCTTACCAAGACAACAAGATGAACAAAATTCACTGACAATTTTATTTGAAGCAGGAATATTACAAGAGTGAAGCACCTTTGTCAAGGTTACATGATTAGGATGCCCTAGACGGCAATGCCATAAGAAAAATGCAGAATCAGAAGGCATACATGACTGTCTATCACTATTACAAGACTGAACAATGTGATTTACAGTTTTATTGACACTATGAGCAAGATTACATTGTGAAATAGCACCAGAAACTGTGTTGTCTGAGCTAGAAGGTGTGGATGTCAAAGTGCAAGCAGATTTCAAAGGAAGAGAGATGTCTGAGAACTTATACAGACCATCATCTCCAAGCACTCCTCGAAGAAGGATGTTATGAGATACCTGTGATTTGACAAAACAAACATTGGGATGAAATTCAAAGTAAACACAATTGTCTTTGGCAAATTGACTGACACTCATAAGGTTTTTCATAATGGAAGGAACTAACAAAAGGTTTTTAAGATGCAAACTTGTATCAGAATCACAAGGTGACAGAAAACTTGAAGATCCAATTGCTTTAATGTTCAAACCTTGGCCATTACCAATGATGACCTGATCAGAACCACTCAGTTGTTGACTCTGAATCAAGTTCATTGGGTTTGCAGTGACATGATGAGAAGCACCTGAGTCTGGATACCACTCAAGAGCTGGAGAGGAGACTGGTGTTGGAAGCAATCCTGGCTGTACAGTCATCATAGCTTGAGGTACAGAATTAACTGGACGAACATACTGATAATCAGGTCGAACATACTGATAGCTTCGCTGCTGGACTTGTGGAGTCTGATTTTGAGCAAAGAATTGACCGGTTGATGAACTCTGTGGAGGTGGAAGTGTGGGTGTGAAGTCTGCATCAAAACGATGCCAGCAAGATCTCACATCATGACCATATTTGTAACAGAGCTGACAATGAACGTTTTGTCTATTCCCACGGCCTCTACCTCTATTATTTCTTCCAATATATCGTCCTCGTCCTCTATTGAAGTCATTAGAACGAAGAGTATTAACAAAACCAAACTGTTCAGAAGCCTTACCAGTGCTCTGTTCTTGATTCGCTAAAACAGGGGCAAACAGAGGAGTTGTTTCAGCAGTGTTGCTCTGTTTTTGAGTCACATTCACAGTGACAGAGTCAAGAAGAGATTCACTCTGTTTTAACAGCATCTGTTCATGTGTCATTAACTCTATACCAAGATCCTCAACGGAGTAAGGATTTTCTCTTCCATGAACAGTTGTTACAAAGGCATTGTACTCGACTGGAAGACCTTCAAGTATGTAATCTGTTCTATCTTCATTTGTGACTGGATTTCCTATAGCCTTCAATGAATCACATAGGCTTTTGATTCGAGACAAGTATTCCTTAGCAGATCTGTTACCTTTTCTGATAGTTCTTAGTTCTGAGCGTAGTTGACGAGATCTAGATTTCATCACTCCATGAAAGAGCTTGTGTATCTTGTCCCAAGCTTCGTAAGCATATTTGACTCCAAGAATCTCATTAACAACAGATTCTGAGATTGTTGACAGCAGCCAAGACAGTAACATTGAATCTTGTGTAATCCATTGCACATACTCTGGATTCTGGATCTCGTTCTCGCGATCTTCATCAGAAGCAAACTGCACTGGAATCTTTGGATTCACCAAGTGACGATGAAGTTGGTGTGAAGTGATAATAGGTTCGACTATTTGATTCCAGAACAGATAGTTGTTTTCAGTTAGCTTCACAGTGATTTGATGATTGAATAGAAGTGGTATACGATTCTCCATTTGTGATCTGGAAGATGCTGGAACGCTGTTTTCTGTTGAAGCGCTGTTGTTGTTTGATGCGGAAGACATAGTGGAGCACAAAGATGGATCAGGCCCTCAGAAAGAGAGCTCTGATACCATGTTTGAGTTCTTGAGAGAATCCATAGATGAGAGAAAGAGAGAGAGAGAAGAGAGAGAATGTATGAATTGTATTATGTAATCTGAATGTACAGTGTGCACTCTATCAATATATATAGAGTGATGATCTAACTAATTGACAGCTAACACCTAACAGATCTGTAACAGATCAGTAACAAACTATACAGGAAAGTATCTGATACATGCAGGTACATTTAAAGAAGCTACAGCTATATATATCTAATAGTCAAAAGTAGTTGAGTCACCAGTTAGTCAAAAGGTGGTTGAGCCACTACCAACAACTCTAAACTTTTGTGCTAACATTAGTACATGAATAAACAAAAAACAAGAAAAATATTCAAATTCACAATTCTAAGTTTCAACTAAATGTGTTCAAGAGAAATTATATTAGTTATTAAGCAGAAGGTGATTGAAACTTGTCCGAGATGGTTTGGTCATGTGATGAAGATTGGATGCCTTAATTCATCTTTGCTTAAAGGGAAAATCCCCATGTGCACAACGCTCCCTGACTTTCGAGGGTAGATGTGAGGGTTGATTATATGCAGCCTTACCCGTACATTTTTGCAAAGAGGTTGTTTCCGACACTCGAACTTTTCTTTCTGGTCACAAGGAGCAACCTTACCGATACTCCAATGCTCGCCCTCTTGATTCGTATTTGCTTATATCTTTAAAAACTTATTGCCACATTTAGCCAAACAAGTTAAACTTGGTTCTCTACTACAAATCATTAGAATATGTTGAATATCTCATAATATCATTATTGTATCTTAAAATATGTTAGAGTATCTTATATGATCTCTTATGTATGGTTTTCATATTTTATTATATTCTATGATTTGTTTTCTTATTTAATTAGGATTAAAAGTCTAATACTAGTATAATAAAGGTTAGTCTTGTGTCCTTCGTAACACATCATATCACATCCTTCATACCAACATCAAAATAATTTTATTATTCTGAGTATTCCTTTACTCTCTTTTTCCTCTTTCCCTATCTAAAACCTTATAATTTCAATACAAACAATATCAAAGAAGGGTGAGCAGAAAAGTAAAAGAAAAAAATTAAGGTTTATGATGGAACCCAATTTTATAAGAAAAACACTAACTCTATTAGATATTAGGTATAAGGGTAGTTTAGTATTTCAGTGATATTCTAGATCTTTCTCTTTTCTGTTGTGCTCTTCTATATAAGAGCTCAATCATTGTAAGTTTAACATTAAAATAGCCATTAGGAAACAAAATACTCTTGGATTACAACTTCAACTCGGAATTTAGAAACCAGCCCCCAGAAATTGATAGCCATGAAAATTGTTTACAATTCAAATTGCACCATACAATGATAAAGTTCCGACAAAGAATCAAAAATATCTCCAGAATTGCAATAATACATAAATATTGTAGAGTTTGAATGAGCTACTAAATTATCGTAAAAACATAAGATAAAGTAAACAACTTACTTGCATGAATCATAAACATCAGGAATTTGGGTGATATCAAAGCGTCTGTGCAAGTAAACACACCGTCAATGTGTCTGCTAATCCATTAGACACACAACCAGACAAAATGAAAGCCCATTGGCTACACGTGTAATGCAGGAATTCATGAAAGTGTAAATGAAATTGTCATTGGAAATGATAATTTAAAAATGAAACCAGAAACATTTAAAAACATTCGGATTAATCAAAATAATTTGAATAATAAAACATTTTGATCATGTATGCAACTAACATTCCTCATGTATTAGTGGCATTCCAAGTCTAATGGCATGAATTTCACACATCAGAAATAAAATACACTAAAAGCAAAGCAACAAATTTAAACCAAACAATGGAAGATGCTTACTCCTTGCGTTCATTATACAAGTCCCTTTCAAGCTTTTTCCAACGAGCATACATCAACAGAAACCCCTCACTTCCACAAGGTAATCCGGCAGCTATACGGTCAACATCGATATTTGTCTTGCCAAGAGCTTTTGCTTGGTCATAAGGAGGAATTACATCATATAAGCTTCTCTCTGTAAGTTTCTCATCTTCATCTTTTGCAAGTAGTCTTACTTGTTCAGTAACCTTCTTAGTCAACTTTACCTGTTGACGTGTGCAGGGGGAAATTTGAGAAATAAAAGAAAAAATTATTACCAATTAGTTATTTTGCTGGAATAGCTTTATTTCATTTTTCACAAGAATAGTTTAACATTCTATTAATTTTGAATAAGAAGAAAATAGGAAGCAATAACTAATTGTGACAATACGGTCCTGGATTAATAATAGAATCACGATATCAAACTATTCCCTCAATTAGAGGTTGAGATAGTCTGAATACTGTCGAAACTAAGTCAAGTTCTTCAAAAATAAAATAAAATCAAACCATATCGATGTTGAAATGTTACAAAAATATAATAATTACACTTGAGACGAAATTAAAATGAAGTTTAGGAAGGAATTTTGTAAATTACTTTAGTGATTGGCATCAAGCACACTTATTCATATTCATGAAGGAATAAATACAACATGCATTTACAAGAACAATAAATAAGAATTCAGCTATTTCTGAAGACCCTAATGTTTCCAACTCTACATCAACTCCTAGTATTTCCAATGCATGATATCATTTACATCAATTACCAAGTCAATCAACCTTTTCCTGACCATTTTTAATTGAATTAAAAATTCGTACATACAAAATGTAGTTTTCTTTTGTATTCTTGTCATGGTTGCTCTAAGAGAGTTTCTATTTTTCATTTGCTTCATTGGTCCCCCTTTTTCTTTCTGTTTGCTTTTAAACATATCTTACACTCCCCCAAGTTATAAAAAAATATGCCTTTGTTTAATATGATAGCATGCAACTAAGAGATTTTAGAGAACATCAGTTAAAACTATAACTTCACAAAAGTAAAGCTTCACAGCTGAATTTTTGAGTGAGCTTCCATAATTTAGTACTAACACCAATCTATAAATAACAAGATTTTATATCTTTCCATGTCCCACAATCAAGAAACAATAGGTAAACAGGAACTTCAAAATATATTTTTATACCTGAGCTAAAAAAAATTCATATTGAGATAAATTGTAAAACAGTTATGGTCAACGCAATAAATGCAGAAACAATTTTTGAAGAGCATAAGCATGAAAATTCTAAAATAAAGAAAACACATTCAGAGAACCAGCTTAATTTCCCTAATTCAGAAAGTCTGTTTTAGCCACTCCTCCGGATTATGAGGATATAGGTTCAAAACATTACCAGTTTGGGAAGTAACTCTGATGCATTGGGTGGTAATCCAGCTCCGTCAACCGTCCAAGGAAATTCAGGTGATCCATTGCTATCAACAGTCTTTGCACCAGAGGTAATAATTTCATTCAACCGAGCCTACAAAAATACATTATAGAAAGTAAGTAAAATATGAGGCGTATCAGTGTTCCAGTAATACCCAAATCTTACTTGAAAAGTATGAGGTGTGAAGTGCATAAGCAATAGATACCAATAATTAGTAATTTCGACTTGTCATTTTGTAACCTGTAGACTGGCCCCTTATTCTCTAGTCACTTTACCAGTAAATTACTTGAGACAAAGATCCAATGTTTCTTTACTTGCTACATTGTAGAAAAACAGAAATCAAATTCAAATATTTTTCCGTTTTTATTTCCTATTAATTAGGAATAATTAAGATTAATTAGGATTGATTGTTTTTTATTTCCTATTAATTAGGATTAATTGTAATTAATTAGAATTAATTGTGATTAGGTTTAGTGAGTCATAGCTGAGTCATTCTTATAATTGTGATTAGGTTTGGTGAGTCATAGCTGAGTCATGCTTAGCTATTTTTTCTTGTATAAATACTCCTCATTCCTCATGTAATTATTCAATATCGATATACTGAAAACCTTTTTCAATATGGTATCAGAGCAGGTTGGTCCTGAGAAAACTCAGCCACCACAACCACCGTCAAACCGGGGCACAACGCCGGAAAACTCAACCTCCAACCATTATTAAGGTTATTTTCCCTTCCTACAAAGTCCCAAGAGCAAAGTAAGGCTACCAATCACTGTAGAAGGCAAAATCCCAGCTTTCCACCGTCGTTAGCCACCGTCAGCAGCCGTCGGAAAATTTTTCCTGCGACATTTCCGGCCAAGATCCGCACCATTCGAAACAGAAGGAGCCGATCTACAAGTTTCAAGAAGGACCATCGGATTCTGCTGAGCCACGCGCCCCCACGCGCTAGAGAAAGGACGGAGCGTCCGCCCTACGCGTTACCACACGCAGCCATGTTAATTGAAAGTAAATTTCCATCCAGCAATGTTGCTCAACAAGGTATAGCGTTCCATGTTGATAATAGTAGTCGATGGATTCTTGATTCAGGGGCTTCAGATCATATGACAGGTAATGCAACCTTATTTTGTTCTTATACCCCTTACTATCAACAATCACGAATAAGAACGGCAGATGGCAGCTTCTCTACTATTGCTGGAAAAGGATCCATTAAACTTTCTGAACACATTACTTTGAACTCAGTCCTTCATGTTCCCTCTCTTACTTGTAACCTTATCTCTATCAGCAAACTTACGTCTGAGTTACATTGTGTTGCCAAGTTTCCTGTCAATGCTTGTGTTTTCCAGGAACAGGACTCGGGGCTGATGATTGGCAGTGCTAGAGAGGAAGAAGGACTTTATTATTTAGAAAAAGATTCTTGTGAAGGAAAAGATTTTGTGAACCACTTGGTATGTTTGTCTGATGATTGTAATGATGTTTTGTTGTGGCATCGTCGGTTAGGACACCCAAATTTCATTTATCTTCAGAAGTTGTTCCCAAGCTTATTTATCAATAAAAATCCCAGTTCTTTTTCTTGTGATATTTGTCAGCTTGCAAAACATTCTCGTGTTTCTTATCCTCCTAGAGTCCATCATGATTCTTCTCCATTTGCCTTGATTCATAGTGATATATGGGGTCCAGCCCGTGAAAAAAATATCTCTGGTGCTCGTTGGTTTATAACTTTCATAGATGATCACTCTAGGGTATGTTGGGTATACCTTCTAAAGGATAAGTCTGACACTGCATCCATTTTTAAAAACTTTCATGCTATGGTTCAAACTCAGTTCCAGACCTCTATCCAAATTCTTCGAACTGACAATGGTACTGAATATTTTAATTTTGTTCTTGGAAACTATCTCAGCCAGCATGGTATTCTTCATCAAAGTTCTTGTCCTAACACCCCTCAACAAAATGGGGTGGCTGAAAGAAAAAATAGACATCTCCTTAAAGTTGCTCGAGCTCTTATGTTTACATTGCATGTCCCTAAATATTTGTGAGGGGAAGCTGTCTTGACTGCAGCATACCTCATCAATCGGATGCCTTCTCATGTCCTAAATTTTCAATCTCCTTTATCTTGTCTTACCCACACCTTTCCTTCTTTCTGGGCTCATTCTTCCCTTCCTCCCAAGTTGTTTGGCTGTGTGGCTTTTGTACATGTTCCTCCCCATCAAAGGTCCAAGCTCGATCCTAAGTCCATTAAATGTGTCTTCATAGGATATCCTCCTAACCAAAAGGGCTAAGTGTTACCATCTTCACTTCGTAAGGTCTTTGTTTCTATGCATGTCACATTTGATGAGAGACAATCTTTTTTTCCTTCGACTTCTCTTCAGGGGGAGTCTATTGGGGTTGATGAAGATAAGTCTTGGAAACCAAATAATTCTGTTGTTTTGCCTTTGCCGTTGGAGACAGGGGGAGTTAATGTGTCAGATAATAGAGATCCTCCCGGGAAATGGGGAAAGTTTTACAGCAGGCGAGAATCACCTCAGGAGCCTCTAGACTGCTAGGATTCTGACTCGAGTCTTAGTTCCAGCAACACTGATACAGCCAACCTAGATGTGCCTATTGCTCTCCGAAAATGTACTAGATCTTGTACTGCTCCTCCTATTTCTCATCATATCACATATGAAAAGTTGTCCCCAGGTTTTCGTGCTTTCAACACTATGTTAGACAGTATAAAAATACAAAAAATATCCAAGAAGCACTTGATGATCCAAAATGGAGGAATGCAGTCTTTGAAGAAATGGATGCACTCAACAAAAATGGAACTTGGGAGTCTGTAGCATTACCCAGAGGAAAGAAAACAGTAGGTTGCAAGTGGGTGTTCACAATAAAGTTTAATGCAGATAACAACATCAACAAGTATAAGGCCAGACTGGTTGCTAAGGGATTCACTCAAACTCATGGGATAGACTATCAAGAGACATTTGCCCCTGTTGCCAAGCTTAACACTATCCGAGTTCTTTTATCACTTGCTGCAAATCTTGGTTGGCCCTTGCAACAATTAGATGTAAAGAATGCTTTCTTGAATGGTGATCTACATGAAGAAGTTTATATGGATCCACCACCTGGTTTTGAAAAAGGAGACGATTCAGTATGCAAGTTGAAAAAGTCTCTCTATGGTCTTAAACAATCTCCTAGAGAGTGGTTTGAGAAGTTTACTCAAGTTGTTAAGGGAAGAGGATTCCTCCAAGCTCAGACTGATCACACTTTATTTTTAAAACACTCTAATGGTGGTAAAATTGCTATTCTCATTGTTTATGTTGATGACATAATTGTCACAGGTAATGATTGTGAGGAGATAAGCTCTTTGAAGAAATGTTTAGCTAATCAGTTTGAACTGAAGGATCTTGGATCTCTCAAATATTTCCTAGGCATGGAAGTTGCTCGAAGTAAGGCAGGAATTTCTTTAACTCAGAAGAAATATATTCTAGACCTGTTACAAGAAACAGGAATGCTTGGGTGCAAGCCAGCAGAGACTCCAGTTGAACCCAATATTAAATTGGGAATCGAAGATGGGAAAGATGTTGACAAAGAGCAGTATCAGAGATTGGTGGGAAAGTTGATCTACTTATCTCACACTCGGCCTGATATTGCATTTGCAGTTAGCATGGTTAGTCAATTCATGCATTCTCCTAAGGAAAAACACCTGAGTGCAATTTATAGAATTCTGAAGTACCTCAAAAACACCCCTGGTCGAGGATTGTTCTTTAAAAGGGGACACACGAGGATGATTGAAATATATACAGATGCAGATTGGGCTGGCTCTGCATTAGACCGAAGATCCACTTCAGAATATTGCACCTATATTTTGGGGAAATCTTGTGACCTGGAGAAGTAAGAAACAAACAGTTGTTGCTCGGAGCAGTGCAGAAGCAGAATTTCGGGCTCTAGCCCATGGTATTTGTGAAGGAATTTGGTTAAAAAGACTCCTTGAGGAATTGAAGATCTCTTTTTCCCTACCTGTCAGAGTGTATTGTGATAATAAGGCTGCTGTCAGTATTGCTCAAAATCCAGTTCACCATGACAGAACAAGACATGTGGAGGTTGATCGCCACTTTATCAAAGAAAAAATAGATGATGGAAGTGTATGGATGGTGTATATTCCTACCAAAGAGCAGATTGCAGATATTCTCACTAAGGGCCTACACCGGCCAGCCTTTGAAGAGTTGATTGGCAAGTTGGGAATGATCAACATTTACCTCCCAACTTGAGGGGGAGTGTAGAAAATCAGAATTCAAATTCAAATATTTTTCCGTTTTTATTTCCTATTAATTAGGAATAATTAAGATTAATTAAAATTGATTGTTTTTTATTTCCTATTAATTAGGATTAATTGTAATTAATTAGAATTAATTGTGATTAGGTTTAGTGAGTCATAGCTGAGTCATTCTTATGATTGTGATTAGGTTTGGTGAGTCATAGCTGAGTCATGCTTAGCTATTTTTTCTTGTATAAATACTCTTCATTCCTCAAGTAATTATTCAATATCGATATACTGAAAACCAGAGCCTCTATGGGTCTTAAATGGGAAAAAAACCTAAGCTGTCCGGAATAACTGGAAATGGCTTGCGGTGTCCTTGTTTTAGTTTTTGTATTGCTTTTTATTTTTCATTGATTATAATTGGTTTTTACATGATCTAATTTTCCTCATGTTGGAAAATTTGAGCAGGAGGATACTTATCTATGGGAAGATGATGATGACAGGTAATTTATAATTTATCCTTTTTTTGTGATGCATTCATCTCTGAATAACAGCTTTTATTTTCTGTCAGTATATGTGAGACACCACTTGCAATAAGCAACATCAAATGATTCAGTATTGAATACCTGGCACCTGAAACTAATGTCATCATTTCAATTTTCCCCCTTTTTTGAGTTTGGGGAAAGAAATACAAATTCTTTTAAGGGTTTGAATAGTGGCTAGAGGGTTGTAGTTAAAAATGTTCGGGTATTTGAATATTAGGAGCAATACGTATGTATGGTTTTAGGGAAACAATAACATAG